TTCAAAATTAACGGAGTTAAACACCCAAGAGCTTGAAAAATAAACGATTCTCCATGAACACGAAAGAATATGCCCCATACAGTTATGATTGCTGTCCGAATAGGTTGAACTTTTTCTGTTTCACAAAACACCTTAAATAATGTTGGAATAAATATGGAATATCCACGATTTGCATCAAATAATCTACGAAACCGGGTGACAATAGTCATGTATAAAACAAGCGTTTGTCCAACAATACCAAAATCACATGAATGTTCCAAAAGAATATTGTTTGCTCCACTTAAAAATTTGTTCAATTCATTTCGATCATTGTAATTCGTATTTAATCTTTTCAAAATTTCAATCAAAAAGTTCAACCATGCTCGTGCACGTAAAGCTGATAACAATTTGGTATCTCTTCCTTTCCGTGTAATAACACTATTAAGCGCACTTAATTTACTATTTGTATTTCGCATATTTGGAATGAAACGATCTTCTTCATTGGATAAAGTTTTCGATTGTTCATCATCATATTGCGGTGTAGGATCAAATGCATTAATCATCTTCTTGACAGAATATACTTCACGTGGAAACTTTATTACAAAGTTAGTCATGAAATGAATATGTCCAATTCGGAGTATAGCAACTCGGAAAATATCAATCGGAATTGCAATAATGTTAAAGATAATTCGATCATCTGCCATATTGCGAGGAAACATAGACTGTGGAGTTCCTTCAGTAAACCAAAATTGCCCATTATTACAGAGAATGTTTTCTATTTTGTTTTTGCGAAAATCTCGAACAGTCATATCATTAACAACAGGAACCATTTCTGCCAATGTTGGAATGGTATATGCCATAACATTGAGTCCATTGCCTTTGCCATCACGAGAATACCATTTTAGCATTCCTGAAAGATGATTAAATAATATATATGTAAAATTTGGGGGATGCACATGCTGCATCGAAATAAGAAATCGGATTCTTGAAATCAATTCTTTTTGGGGCATATTCTTTCGTGTTCATGGAGAATCGTTTATTTTTCAAGCTCTTGGGTGTTTAACTCCGTTAATTTTGAA